ATTTTTCATATAATCTTATTTTATGCTTTTCTGTCTATTCCAATTCAATTTTTAATTGTAAAATCAGCTCTAATTTACTTYGGTATCTCTTCCTCATTTCAAATACTATACATCATTCGCATAAATTAAAAATGATTTAACAGTAAAGCGAAGACATGGAAAAAGCACTTAACTTTGTAGCATAAATTATAAAAAATAAAAGCAAATATTATAAAAGTATAACAAACACCCACACACCCACATATGTATGTATATTTATATGGTCAAAAAAGTCATAATCCAAATAATAAGTATAAAAAGTTGCCAAAATCTAAACTAAACTTGAACAGAAACGATCAAATACTTAATTCACAAATTAGCACGAAGCAGTGAAGAAATAAAAAAGAAAAATTAAATTGGGCAAAACATAACTTAAAAACGAAAAAAGCACGAATAAAGCAGAGCAAACACGGATTTGCGAGTTAAACAAACCAGAAGTTGATGAAGCAAAATATTTAATAAATATATAAATTTGTTAAAATATATGGGATATATACGATATTGAAAAAGGAATACAAAAATTAAAAAATTTAAACAATAAAAAACGAAAATAATATTTAAAAAAGATAATATAAATACAAAATTATAAAAATGATGACAAAGATAAACAAACTTATTTAAACACTGTGCTTAACCTGTAGCAGGCCATTCATACACATTTGCATATATTTATACACATCTACATAGATATGAATATATATATGTCTCCATTTATGGTATAGAGAATTAATGCACAAGCCGCTAACGAAAATGAACCAGCTAATAGACAATATATTTGATAGCCAAGCGTTCAAGCAAAAATTCATTTAAATTCACCATAAAAATTATAAAACAAAAAGTTCACACATCACTAATACACATACATATATATTCACTTACAAATGTAGCTATACTTACATAAATATATTAGAAAAGTGTCAAAGCAGCGCTCTTTGTACAACAACTTGTTGCGACTTCTTGACGTATCTACCTAAATACGGGTTTATATATAAATATCTACATATGTGCATACGAAGGCGGGTTGCTAAATTTGTGGCTTAAGTTATTAACTGCACAAATAAATATATGCAATATGTCTGAATATAACACCTTTATGGTACATGAAAACTTGACACTGTGGAATTACTATTGATCTCTATAAGGAAAGTCGCAATTAATAACATTAAACAAAAATTTTAGAAATAAAAAGAAAATATTAAAATAAATTTTTGGTGTTCCAGGTTTTATATCATACATATTTTACTACTACACAGTGAAATAATTCATTAATTTCCACGGCTGCAACATTTTTTTTTTTTTTTTAAATTTTGGTTTTATCAATTTTCGTTAAAATAATAGTAAACAGATCCTGAAAAGTTACAGACTCAAGATATTTATATT